TCATTGATTTGAACGACACTTACAATGAAGAAACAAACATGTTCATAAAAAACACACACATTTTATTACAATACGATTTACATACCGTCTGAATTTACGGTGAAATAATGGGTAGGGTCTGTGAGGAAACAGTGGACGAAGGCATTTATCATTATCTTCGTTTTGTTATGTTTTCGATCGTACGCAAACTCACGACGCAAAGCAATTTTCCACCATGAGGTTTTTCAGCACGATTTGACCTGGAACAACTTCCTTTGACATAACAGGTCATGTCTTTCATTAACCAATCAAAATGATGTGTCGTAATAATGAAATTTTCCGATTATTGACAATGATTTTTTAACGCAATGCGGAAGTGAATTACCGCAGTGTTAAAATGCGATCTGTAGCACTGATTGCAACGAAAAAACAATGATTTTTTACCTAAAAACTGGCGATTCGCAATTTCCGAAATATAAACGACGGTTAATAGTAATCGTGGGTAAACTGAGTGTGGAGGAAGAACTTAAACACCTTTCTCGGTTGCCAACATGTCTCATCGTTCAAACCCTAGGCCTTTCATGATAGTCTCAAAGTAAACCATGCCCAATAACCAGGTACACGACTTAACGATCACATTTTTGGCTTTTCGAAAGCTACTTCTCAAAAAAATATGGATTACTCCAGAATTGCAATATCAGGGTTCATCCTGAGTAAATGACAGAATAGAAAGGATGCGAACCACGTTGTTTACGTTCGCCATGCACTCTGAATTTAATGCGAGAGCAGCAAGTTTTCTCATAAAACTAAAAGCATGAACCAAACTACCATGCCAATCATGATTATTATGAAATGAAACACACCTTTTACACGCATATTTTAAAGAATATCGTCGACGCCCAGTAAAAACACTCTGGGCTTATAATCGTGAATGCTCTCAACTCGATAAATACAAAGTAAAAATATAGGGATGGGCTTCATACCCGGGAGGGGCTTACGATCGGGGAAGTACGGTACTTTAACGTAATTGGGCTTTCACTCTCAGAATACTGTGGTTCAAACGCATAAGGCTCTAACCCAAGTTATAAAAAGCGCATTGTGCATATAAAAGTTGAGTTTATACTACTAGTACACAATGCTTGGCAGCATGAATGGCTATGTACAATGGCGTATACGAATGTGATCAGATACTAAAACGTCATAGCTTTGAAAAGTACCCAGATGTTAAATATTTTCGTTCATTATTTATTCCCCTCCATGAATGGCCTCCATGGTGTTTAATTGCAAGCACTTCAAATGCCTATCCAAGCTACAGTTATAATTAAAGCAATTAAACCACTGCAATATTATTTCGAATACAGTTTAGAATATACACAACTATAAATTAAGGCCGCATTTAGGTTCGCTTTAAAGTTTTTTTCTGGCTTTACTTTAAATCTTTAAATTTCATATTTGGCAAAAAGCATGATTGATAATGTGTAAATTGCTGCTGATGATTGTTAATGTCCATGTGTCTTTTAAACAGCAAGTCAAAGTGTAATTTGTGTAATTCAGTCATGCATAATCTAGCACCACATACATGATGGTTGGAAAAATCTGTTGTGTCACTTTAGAAGTTTTCATCAGAATCCAATTTTAACAATGCTTACTGCTCTACTTATAAACCATTTAATTTCACTGCTAGAAATTGTCTTGATTTGATGGTTATATTACAAACGAGGTGACAACATTTTGCAAAAGTCGCTAATACTCTGTATTGCTGTAGTAAACAATAACTGTTACAACATTTCACAATTTCACTGATTCCCAAAATTTGTGAAAACGTGTCTTCTGTAACAAAAAAAAGCATTGTACGGTATATAAATATAATTCAAAAAGGTTTGCAAAGTATTTAAGATAATAACATGTGCCAGATTCCTACCTTATCTCTGGCTGGTTTGTCATGTTTAACATGGTGTTTGGCATATACTTTGACAGTCATGCCACTATCTTCCTTTCTATCACTGACACAGCTCTTGTCTGGCTTGCTCAGACCTATTGTATAATAAACAAATTTAAGGTAGAGATGCAGTTTATTTGTGAATTTCAATCAAAAATAGTTTTTTTCGTTTTTTATATAGATTTTTATCTAAAGAACATTCTGTGAAAATTTGACCAATAATTTCTTATTGGAACACCGTTAAAATTGCTGTTTATTTTCTGGTTAAAAATAAAAAACACTCACACGTGGCAATGTTTATGTCCAATTGCCTACCGGGTAATTTGCATGAGTAAGCAAATAACAGGACCTTTGATTGACAATATGCAAATCGAGATTGTACGGGTCATAGTTCATTCAATTCACGCGCATGTGCAATTATTCTCAAATCAGTTATCGCTCGCTAGCAAACCAAATATTATATTTCCTCAGCGTTTTTTCCTAATTTTTATCATTACATTATGCGTGGTGTGAAAAGAAAGAGAGGTAGAAAGAAGATTCAGATGATTTCTATGTCGGGAGAGGCAAAAGCTACACTGAAGGCATCAGC